TGCTGATCGAATGGAGCTCTAGTTTGGTTGGATTACAGATTAATGGGCTCGTCGGTGTGGCGTAGCGCAGCTTAAGTCAAGGGACCGACCGAATTGTAGACAGTTATAGAATAAATCGAATAGCAGAAAATAAAAAGGGACGAAACGAGAGTAATTCGTCGAAAAACTAATAAAAAATTCATCTGCAATGTCTTACATTTTACAAAAGTTTTTCCACTTCACTTGAAAACCAATCTAGTTTTAAAGAGCACACTGAGTTACGTAAGAGAATGTCTTTTCTGACTTCCTAGCTGATGTAGAAACCGTGAAAAATGACTATTACTCTTCCAACAAAATTATCGTTTTCGGCGCCACTCTCAGTGTGAATTGATAAGTATCGCGATGAATTTTACAACATGCTCTTCCTTTTTGCGACAGATCGCTTAATGTTTTTATTATAGAGTGAGACAAGAACTACATACTCTACAACTTTGAGGAATACTCTAGAGATATTGAGCTTTTAAAATCTCGTTTGCTTATTTTGAACTCGGGTTTGGGTTGATAGCTCGATAGTTACCATAGTAACGACTTCAAGTGCCATATAAAAATTCGGAAAAGCAGCATTTTATGGTCATAAAGCAACTCAGAATGTAAGAAAACCTACAGAACGCTGCTTTTATCAAAATCCAAGTTCAAAATAAGCGAACGAGATTTTAAAAGCTCAATATCTCTAGAGTCAAGGTCGGTCCCTTGACTTAAGCTGCGCTACGCCACACCGACGAGCCCATTAATCTGTAATCCAACCAAACTAGAGCTCCATTCGATCAGCACTTGCAATACAAAATTGATAACCATCACTCAATACACTAGAACAACACTTTGGACATTATGTATGCATCTACAGTTTACTTTCAATTGAATCTAAATATTCTGAAGCTTTTAAAGCTTTAAAGCCAGTAATACTGGATCCAGCAGTGCGAAAGTTTTATAATGACCTCATTCTCAGATGTCCGGTGTTTTCCATTTACTATTTTTGGCGAGAAATGAGGAGAGAAGTACGGTTAGCAGTTCTAGTTCTGTGGCATTTCAAAATAATAATATTATTAGCACAATTAACTAAGCAACTATATTTGTATGTCTACAAAAACCAAAGCCTACAAAATAGATATTCCGCAACTCTAAGTGATTGTTTATAATCAACGTATTAAGTTTTTCGTACACGCTCTAACAACAGTTTTAAAATGGATGTATATGTAGTAAACTAGTGATAATTTTGTTGGAAGAGTAATAGTCATTTTTCACGGTTTCTGCATCAGCTAGGAAGTCAGAAAAGACATTCTCTTACGTAATTCAGTATGCTCTTTAAAACTAGGCTGGTTTTAACCCTCCTCCACCCTGGTGCTAACCAGGCAGATCTGATGTTGAGTTGACCACAGGAATAGGTTATGTGGGTGATCGATATGACAATGGTATGGTTAAATTTGAGCAAATTTAAATTAAATTTCTTTTTTGACTCTGGCAGTTAATATGTTAAAGCAAAGAAAACAAACTAGTTTTCATTTATATTACTCTATTTTCCTCTTACACACCTCAAATCTACTATTATACTGGTGCGACTAATCATGGATAATGGTCTACGGTCCCATCTGCGGAGCTCATCCCATGTGTTCTACTGCCTACCTATAGAACTAACGCATCGGTTTCCAGAGTCCTAGAGATTTTTTTATAGTTTTTTTTCTTATATATATATTATTGATACAAAGCACATTCAATGGTATCATTCATGTTTCTTGGTTCTTTGTGAATACTATCTGTCTGAAGTATCAATAGATGTAATTTATCAGTGCGATGCAAATTTCTAACAAGTCATTTATCAAGAACGTTGAAGGACGACGGGGCTAGTCAGAGCTAAACAAGAGGGTGGAAGACATTTTTTAGTTAACAGAAAAGCATCTGTTTTATTTATAAGCACGAAAGACTAAAAGTCAAAAATATACACCCTGTTATTGGCACCGACAAGCACAATTAACATATAATATATTTATTGAAAATACGACAAAAATGTTTTTTCAAATTTTGAAAAGAAAAAAACGAATTAACTAAAATGATTTACACTTCTCTATATTCAAAAATAATACAATAATACTTGAATAATTACATACGTATAGAAAATGGTTACTGGTATAATGTAGATCAATGACTTTTTGAATATGAAGCCAGCGTCATGTTTATTCAATTTAATTTCTTCTAATCGTTGTAAATGGCGTAATTCACCTGGCGTGTGATGTTCAGTTATTGCATTCACATCATCAACATGCAGCTTCAATTTTGTATGATGATCATTGACTTTAACCAAATTACGCTCAAAAAATGGCTTCTTTTTTGGAAAAGCAGGTGGAGTGACAGTAGGAACAGCAAAAAACGTCGATGTCGTACTGAATTGCCTGGTTAAATTAACTGAAAACGATGTAAGAGAAGCGTTGCAGATCACAATCGAAGATAACACCTTTTAATGGTTCCAATGTCGCTGAAGAAGAATACTCTGTCCTGCAGCTACCATTGTCGATAGAGGGTGCTGACAAATACCAGTTTCAATAGCTCGATATCTTTTCTATAGTTAATAAGTTTTCGACATTGTCACCTATATCGTTGCTGATTCTCAACTGCACTTCTGATTCGAAGGCTAGCCTGACACAGATCTCTTGGCAGACATAAGTAACTTGCTCATAGTTGTCAGAGGCCGAAACGAATCGAATGATTCGGCATTCGACTCGGTCCCTTTTCTTTCCCCCTTGAGCTTTCCCGAATCGATTCACGATCTCAAAAAGTTGTCCTGAATCAAGTCGAATTGAATCCGGTTTTCCTGATTCGTTTTCGGCTCTGATAATTATACTATTACCAGTTTGAAGACAGTGCCTCTAAAGTACGTGGCAAACAAACCATTCTATGAATGTTATCGGTACATTTTTGCAAGGGATTTAGCTTTTTTAAGATTACATTTTAGTTCTTTTTAAAAACAGATCAAACAGAATACTGATGTACTCGTAGTCCGAGGTTGTATGCTAACTCGTATGAGTTTTGCATTAAATTCTGAACCTTTGAATAAAAAATGATGTCAAAGAGAATCTGATCTTACCTATACATCTAGAGTGTTTGATGACAAAGGAGGTATAACGACTGATTGAAGAAACAGAACCTGATAAATTCATCAGAGATGATTATCTACAACAAAGATGACTGGATGAAACCTATGAATTTCTTTGTTTTCATTATCATAGTGTACGAATAGTCTCCCACATCTTCGTATTAGGATTTTCATAGAAGAGTTGGATATGTCTTTCATATACATTGATCGAAATACCATCGTACTCCACTACTCTTGTCAACTTTAAGTTTGTACGCGTTTATTCAACTAGTTTTGAATGAGAAGATTAAAACAAAATCTTAGTATCACATAATTTATACAAGAAACGTTTTTCGAGATATTTCGACTTTTCTACCGTGTCTACATTAAATAAGAAGATTGGTGAAGTTAAAGCTCCACTTGCAAAAAAAAACTCGGCGCAATACATAATTTTTTTTTACTTTCTAATACAAAAACAATGTAAATATATTTTTTTGTGTAAAATATATAAACAATAAGTACAGAGACACGCACATATTCTATTTTAGCCATTTAAAAATAAATAGCTCATAACACATACACACAAAATAGAAAAGAATAGATACAAAGAAGCAAAAAAACACTATCTATTGAAGAGATTTATTAAACAAAATTTCCTGTGGTAATATTCTCTTGTGTCAACCATTTACATGGCTTATTTTTGCCTTGATATATAATTGCTTGTGATGTAATTAGGTTCAATGCACGAGGATATAATTCACGTTCTATCTGATGTAAACGATCCTCAAGAGTTTCTTCGGTTTCCGACGAATTTACATACAAACATTCTTGAATAATAATTGGCTCACAATCAACATCCAACTAAATATAAATAACAATATTTAATAACTTACATCGTCTAATAATCTACTCTACTACTTTAAACTATATTACATCATTGTGAGCATTAAAATTAGCAACTATCTCCTTCAATACTTACTTCGACAAAATGAACTGTACATCCAGTAATTTTCACTCCATTCGAGAGTACATCTTTGTATGGATTTCCATTTCGAAATGCTGGTAATAATGATGGATGAATATTCAATAAACGACCTTTCCAGAATTGAAGAAATGTTTCTAAAGAAAAATGACAGTTGATTAGTAAAGAATAAGTTTACATTAGCAGTTTACATACGTGATAAATTTGCTTCATAACGATCAAAACAAACATAATCAATATGATTCATTTGTAATTCATCATCGATTATTTTATCCATATCAAAATGACGTTGGACATATTTCTTTGGTTGAACAACCTAAATACAAAGAAGAACAAAATAGAGAGAATATTAAGTAGCAGATTAAAATAATTACTTACTTTAGTTATTATTTTATATTGTTCATTTGCTTTGAGCACATCAGCTAATCCGTAAACAGTCGAAATAACAAGACAAATTTCATATGAACATGTCACATTGGTTAAACTATAGTCTATTAACGGTAGCAACGTTGTATCTAAATTGTAGAATTAAAATAATGAAGAAAGTCTTGTTGAAATAGTTCTAGCACATAAATATGCGAATATACTGAAACTTCGTTATATACGAGATTGTTTGAATAATATTTTAAATATATCCTTCTTCGTACATACCATTTGCTGATATGAGTACAGCGACACGTTTTTTCTCTTGTTTCATTTTCGATTGTGGTATTAATGTTTTCGGATGAAAGCTTTGAATGGATTTTGTCAGCTTTTGAAATGAATAATTTTTTATATGAACACGAGAACGATGTTGTTGCGTAGATTTTTGACTTTCTAAACAGATAAGAAAGTAGTTAATGAGGATACTAGGACACTTGTTGATCAAGACAAATCTTAGTTCTCGCTTTTAAACAATTTTGTATTGAATTCTTACTTGAAATAGGTGGCAATGCTTTAATAGTTCCAATTTGAAACGAATCGTGCAGTAATTTCAATATTTCCAAATGTTTTGCTTTATCGACTATAAGAATCAGACCGATACCAACATTGAAATGATGAAACATTTCTTCTGGACCAAAACCACCCTAAAAATAAAATAGAAAAAGTAAAATTATCGATTGATAAAGAGTGCAATAATTGAAAAACTTACATGTTGATAGATCCAATCATAGAATGAATGAACAGGCCATGAACTTGCATCAACTTCTGCCGATAAGTCAAGAGATGATTCTTTCAATAGTTGAATAAGAGTGCCGTATAGACCAAGATCTAGACAAAATAATGAAATAAATCGATTTTACTCCTAGATGACATCGAAATATTAAGCATATTTTAGCCGTTAACATAATAGAAACTTTCATTTCTGCTTTGATAACATAGATCCATGCTAGATGTACGAGTAAGTGTTAGTTTAGTGAATAAGCTGTGATAATGATTTTAACAGACCTTTTACATTTGCACACGCTTTAATTTTTCCTTCTCTGATTAATGGTAATATCATTTGTGAATACAACTTTGGTTTTTGACTTAAAAGTGAATCTAAAACAGAACATAGGATGAATACAATTAAAAAAAAATCGATGTATTTGAAATACATACAATATGTTTCTCCGTGTGTTCCTTCGGGATAGAGTTCATCAAATTGAATATTTTTCTTCACAAATATTTGTTTAAGTGTAGTATAACCATTTAGATTGATTTGTGAAGCGGACGGTGACAATAGACCAATTATTGAATCACCAATTTGAAAAGAATCATTTGGCAACAGCTCATTACGTTGACAACAACCAACACATGAACCTGATAATGTTAACTGTGATAATGGTGAGACGGAATTTAACGGAATTGGACCTATAAGAAGAAAAAAAAAAATGAAAGGAATTAGTTAGAGAAACAGAACGATATTTTGTAGGCTTAAATAATAGATTCTATTCTTTCGAAATAAAATTGTTAAATTTAAGTATTTCGTATTTTAATTTTCTTGAGAATGTAGAGTGTTTAAGTTCTGCTATATCCTGTTTGTAGGAGATCCCGAAAGAAATTTTACAAAATCCTGAGGGTTTCAAGAAAAACCTATTAAGAAAAATATGCATTTTTGATTTTTTCGATCTTATAATCACGTTTAGCGGGCAACATTAATAATTTCCTGAGATTTTGAACTTGTTCTGATGTTTTCTTGATGTATAGTAAATTTTGTAAGATCAGGTGAAAACCCCAGTTTTCGGTCGGCTTTTGAAATTTCAGCATGGTCGATTTCCCATAGTTCATCCGTCTTCAAGGCTACCAATAGTCACCGGGTGCCGGTCATGAAACTCGTAGGATATCCGACACAGCGCCCGAACTGTTGGAAACCATGGTCTCGCTTGACTCCCATTTTGAAGAGGACATTTCGTACGCGCTATCAGCCCATGAAAAAAATCAATACAATCCTGTTGGAGGATTTCTACACACGGTGGTCTGGTTTTCCAAAGAACTTCTAGAAAATCTGTTTCTGAAAAAGTCTTCTGAAAAATTTTTGGTTATTGAAACATGTCCCCAAGTCTTCTCTTTCGAATGGTGAAAACTAGCGCTCTTTAGCTCTTTTTTATCAATAGTTATTCAAAAAACATTAATATATCATTCTGTTTTTGGATGGACAATAGATAGATCGATCAGAAAAGTACACAATCTAACAGAGATTTGTTCGCTTGTTGCTCCGTGACATTTCAACATCTTTAGTCAAAATAAAAACTTCACTTAACCCTTTCTTTCTTGATCGTATCTATAGTTACCATTTTTTAAAAGTTTAGTGCTCTTGAACTATAAAACATATAGAAATACATTTTATATCAATGTTTGTTGCAGTGTAGTGTCGTTTTGTACACTATATGTTCTCTTCTTTTCTCCTTCTATTGTGATAAATGCGTACGCTATATTGGTACTTGACATATTTGATTCAAACTTTGTCTGCATATATTAAGAGTCGTTAGGTTGACGTTCTTGGGCAAATAAAAATATTTATCAACTGTTGAATAAAATGTCTTCTTGATTAATTGACTTTTTAAAAATAAAGATGACCAAAGGCTATATCAAAAGTGAGAGTGAGTAATTAGAGAAGAATCAAGACTATAAAAGACACTTTCAGTTATATACTTAAGGTACTCTCTTCAGTGAGGCAAGAATAAGTTTTTTATTTATACAATATGTCAGAGAGCTAATAAAAGACAAACTTTTCTGCCATCAGAAGGAACACGCTTAAAGCTTTATTTTAGGTAAAAATAGCTTTATATTTTATTCTCCTTCGCATTGGATAGATCCACTTGGGAAAAACTGCAAGCTTACATCATTCTATCAAGTGTTGTCATACTAAAACGTTTTGACTTGTAATCATTGAACTTACATCAAAAGTATAACTATTCAATCTCCGCCCAATGGTGTATATCGATCTATTCAAAATTTGATTGTCGAAAACAAAGTTGAACTTTTCTAGACCGTAAAAAAAAGGTTTTGTGCACAAATTTTAGCCAAATTTTTTGTCAGATTTAAATACAGCACGAAAGAAATTGTGTTACAGTATTTCCTTATCCATAAATAAAATTATTAACTCTTATAGACAGAAGCATTCAAGTGATACAGACGTTTACAAGAAATATTGATCAAATATCAATTAATAAAGTTATGACCCAATTTATAGCCACTTATAGTATTTATCAATAAACTATGGAAGAAGAATGAGGGAGGCCAAATAATACTAGTCGCAGATATTAAAATGATTATTTTCTTATCATATTTATTTATGATAACTCTACCAAGTCCGTTTCAAGTTTGCATTGACGCGAAAAAAAAAGTGCACTCATACTGTTTGAGGTTAAGTGCACATACTTTCTAATCAGTAGAGCAGCAAATCAAAATCTATATTCTAATAAAAATTCTTTATCTTGATGACAGATACATATATTTCACGGTGTTTACATATTTCAAACTATATTTGATATTGAAGTGGATAAAAGAAAACTAACCAGATTTCTTGTCAAGGAAAAGGAAAAACATCGCTGTACACTTACACATATTCAAAACAAATAGTGTTAATCCATTTTAGATATATTTCGTAAATTTTGAGTATTCAAACAGAAAAGATCAAAACACTGTTCATATGTAATGTAATGTGCGAATAAATTAGACATACTCGATTTACAAATAGCACCGATGAAACAAATATTGGATGAACTATCTCAGATAGCAGTAACAATTAGCGATTCGAATTTTGTGGATATCGAACCATGAAAATAAGACAATATGCTTGTTGAGATGAAATTTATAGGAATAGATTTCGTCCTTTCTACAACGAATACTTGGGCGTTCATAAACGAACTAGGTCGCTATCGGCAAAACTGGTAATACGAAGGAAATGACTAGATATAATTTCGATGTAACTATCGCTACACTATTTTTGAAACTGTCTAATTATTTTCAATGAGCCATTTGTTGTTTCTACGGTCTATGAGCGTAGTTGATAATTTTTTTCTTAACTAGGCACGTTTGACTTTTAACTTTGTCAAGCTGTATCAATCAAGCAGTTATTTTTACTTACTTTGTACATGTTTACAATTTGCTTGTTTACACGCCTGTTCGATACCCGAATAAAATTGTTGAACAAATTTTTGGCTACTAGTAGGTAATATACCACCAAATATTGAATTTGATTGAAAATACAAAGGTTCACAACCCTTCGTTAACAAATCATTACAACACTGGCCAACTAAATCGAAACCAAGTGTTTCACCGATTTCATCAGTATTCAAATTGAAAAGCTAGAATAAAAGTTATTCTAGTTTCAAAAATGATTAATTGAAAAATTCAAGATAAAATATAGACTGATTGATGAAAATTCGCTCACCATTGCTTTCATATTAATATTCGTTGCTGCTGATATGAGTATAGCTTCTGCGCATTTCGAATCATTTAATTTCGATTTTGAAATTTCAAAATATTTTTCACCTAACAAACTTTGTTCAATTTCGATAGGTTCGATCTTTTGCATTGTCAACGATGATGCAGGATCCGTAGCATCATTTGCATCAAAATCACAGTTGAAATGGTATTCCATCTGAAATTGTTCATCCTCTTCCATTGGTTCAGCTTCATCATGTGAATCTTCGTCAACGTGGGTAGAAGTAGCATTAGCAGTTTTTTTCTTGACACCGTTCACTAATGTACCACCAAAATGATGATCTTCAACATGATTCTTGTACCTACAAGTTAAGAAGATTATTTGAGAATAAACGATCTTGGCTCCCTTTGATGATTGAAATTTTGCTCTCATCCCTTAAATTATCTGTCATTACCATTCTAATGCTTGGTGAGCAATATCTTGTTTCACATAGATATTATCCATTTTTTGTTGTACTTTTACATGTTCACATCCGTCTAAACACGCTTGTTTTGCATCAGCTAACGTCTGTCCTTGTCCCATTATATTCAATATTCTTTCGCCTGATGATGTAATTGAATATTTGTGTTGATGTTCATCACCATCATCGTTCGTATTTGGTACCAATTGTGTTTGATTATGAAACAGTTTATATCGTTTATCATTTGAAGCCAATAATAAATTATTTGATAATGTACCTGATGTGAACAAAGATGTAATGGTGATGTTTACTGAATGTTTTTTTGGACGTTGATCATAAGGTTTAATAGCAGATAAATCTAAATAAACAAACAAAAACTTCTAAAAATAAGAAATCAAGTATGACTACTTATCAACTCTTTGGGATTATGTGAAACAAAAGCAATTTAGAGAAATGCTCTGTAAAAGAAAAATAACTTCTCTATTAGTCAGATACAACTGTCTTTTTTAGTTACTGTTTATTCGTATTCTTTGTTTACCCAGACATCCTTGTGAACATTGTTTTATCATATCATAAAATTCATTCACCGTTCCATCAAATAACGATAATAATACTTCGCATTCAGGTTCTTGCAAACATGATACATATTCTAATACTTTAATATTCTCATCTTGACTACCGTTCACAAGTAATTTTAATCCAAATAAATTTTTAATTCCTGTTCCAGATGATTTTCTTAATGTTTTTTCAATTAAATGTTTTCGTATATATTTGAGTTGTTTTTTATTGATAAATGGACATGGTCCATAAGTACCCATTCGATGTGGATCACATTCGACAATTGGAAATTGATAATAGTCACCTTCACCATCACAAAACATAAAAACGAGACATACATGAAGAGTTGAATCATCTTCAGGATAACCGTGTTCAACAATAATAGAACGATTCAATTTACCAAACAAATTATCCTAAAAATAGAGAAAAATCATAGATTGTCTACTGTTCAAATGATAACATTATTTCGAAAAATAATTTGCAATGTTGATCAGATCCTTGAAAAATTTTCTCCTACTACAACATTTTCATCAAAATGAACATAAATCCGTATTTAAATTACACTAGGGAATTCTTTTTTCGATCTCTAAATTTATTATTGAATTTTTGATGAAAATTATTTGAAAAAGATGCTATACAAGCGTCAGAGTTGGTATTACTCACATCAAAAACTGATTTAACTGTATTAAATGCATCATCATTTGTTTTACACAAAATTTTTCCATTACTATGCGTAGCACGAATTATCCAGTTTGGATGATCAGAATTTCTAAATAGAAGAAATAGACACGATCAATGCTCTGTATGAAAGCAATAATTTGCAATAAATTTGAAAATAATAAATGGTTATAAATGAACTCAAACAACTGTACAATAATTTCTTAGATTTTACTCATTACATACTGTTTGATATAATTTTGTGCATCTTGTTCATTTAATAAATGTTTCCATTTCAATGTGGGTATGGAATGTTTAGCACAAAATTCTTTTGCAAACAATTGTTCTTGTTCAAATTTCATTGTTGTTTTTGTTAAACCAAAATAATCACAACAAATATTCTCATTATTACCATTTAATAAATATTCATCTAAATCTTGGACATAAAATTGTTTTGACACACATATAACTAAAGTAAACAAGAAATAAAAAAGAAGTAAAATAAAGTATCAATATATGTTAGATAAAAATCTCTTTTCCATTATACACTATATTTCTTTACCTAAATCAATTTCTTTTTCTTCAATAAATTGAACTAATCCATGACAGTCTTGATTTGACAGATCAACATTTTTTCCGCCCTCCATATCAGTTCCCACATTGCCAGGTGAACACCATATTCGATAGTCACGATGAGATGATCCTTTTTGCCGACTTTTTTGCTTTAATTTCCAAACGATAGCATGTTCGGATGAACTATTGCCTAATATAAGAATATTAATCGATGATTGTGATGATGATTTTGCCGTTGCACCTCCAAACTGATAATAATCATCATTATCATCCACACGATTCAAAACACGTTCGAAGACATAAGATTCATCACGCGTAGTACTGACGTCATTGTTCAACGATTTTGTAAATAAAACACGATCAAAAAGCTAAACACAAATAAGAAAACTATTCACAAATCATTCTATCATGCTGTGAAGCTAGTGTACAGAGAATTTGATTAAAACAAACACAGACAGCAACAACTCGTCAACTGAATTTTGTATAGGGAATGATCGTTGTAGTCTACGTACTTTTTAAACATAATACATCTCTACTTAGCTTCTTAAAAAGAATTACTATTAGCTACGCAATATTCTTTCTCTTGATGTAAGAGCTACATCGATCTCTTTTTCTTTTACTAAAACAATTCACACGAGAAGTTTTTACTACTAAAAATCTTGCACAAATTCTTTTAACGGCATACTTTTTGTAATGTTTTTGAATAAATGTTTGTTGTAGATGATACAAATAAATTTCCGCCAACTTCTTTTAATTGTAACAATCTTTTTGTCGGTACTTCAATAATTGGCTCGGTCATAATATCATCTGTATCATTCAATTGTTCTTTAATTGTCTCAGAATTTAATTCTGTTTCATGGTCAATCAATATGGCTGAAGCGGATGTACGACGATGTTTATTTTGCGTTGAGTGAGATGACGATAAACGACTTCGTTTCGTAGCAGTGGTTGTATTATTATTATAAGACATTATTGAGCTGTTTACAACAATATCTATAAAAAAGATACATTGAACATTCCTTACGATTATAAAGAACTTGTATAAACTTAGAGTGACTTCAATGACTATGTAATGTTACATAGCAAAAATTAATGAAAGAGTTAAGATTTACGCTTCCTAATCATAAATAGTGTTCACGTGGTTATTTCTAAAAGACGTTTAGATGAAGAGAGAAAGGATCACTAGAACTGGATACAAGCGAGGGAGTCATAAAAAATAACTTTTATCTAAATGTTATTTATGAATGAGCAACTGCATGGTTCCTTTCGCACTGACTTTTGCATGTCTGCATGTTTGACCACTCATACATAAAAACAAGATCGACACTTCTGAATAGAACAGCACAAAAACGTTTCTCTTACTTCTTTTAACTTAGGACAAGACACTCTTCTATTAACAACAAAAAGACGTTCTTCTACTTTCTGCAAAAAGATTTTCTTTGATTTCCTCAACTTTCCATATACACGCTTAGATATATAATGAACTGCAATGCTTTCTTAACAGTGGCAATAAGATATGTAAATTTTATCAAAGGAAGAGGCTTCAGGAAACACTGTGATCGTCAAGATACTTCTAGCTGCGATTAAAACAATCCTCGATTTAGCAAACATGATAGAGTACGAAGGCATACTTTTTTTATCACCCATAAAAAATCTTATGTCGATTGCTTAGTTAAAATATATATTTTAACCGATTGATTGTTTCTTTTTTTTTTAATCTTTTCTTTGTTAGAGGATTTCTTTTGAGTAGCTATGATATCGAACGAATAACAATTCGACAAAAAACCTTCATCAGCGCCAGTCGGCATTGCAATCCGTTGTTCCTGGTTTATTAACAAGTCTTCTATTTACAGAGTTTCAAATTCAAATAACCTGCACGATCATTGATGCTTTGATAAATCGTACTGTGGCGCCATGTAGTATATGTGTGCATATGAGCCACAACTAACTAACGAAATGAATCTCCTCTTTTATCTTTCTTCGTTCGTTGAGATAAGAAAAAAAGTAACTAATATCCTTAATTCTCGCCCATCCGATAGATTTTGTTTACAGAAGTATCCAGTGGTTTTAACCACTCTAAGCGTGAAGTTTAACGCAGCGTTTTCAATACAGATTCGAGGAGGGAATATATTGGTCATGATGCCGTTACAAGCGTTTTTGGAGTCGACACCACTACCATCATCAATGTGTTGGCGAGATAATTCAACAGCAAAAAATTCATTTGTCAATACTGGCGTCAGCATAATTTCAACATGTAACGATTTCACATGTAACGATGTTGATTGTTACTCGACTAATGAAATAAAATTAAATAAAAAAATAAAATCATTCTCATTAATGGTCTACAACGGTGACCCGACAATTCGTCTTAGTCTCTTTTGTCTCTGACAATTAGTCTCAGTCTTTTGGTTTCAGCGACAATTCGTGTTAGTCTTTCATGTATCCGACAATTCGTCTCAGACAAAGCGTCACACAATATTCGTCTCATACGTAGAAGACAGACTGTTCATGACACAGTAACATTCTCTGTGAGACGCATTGTCTAATTATACAGCTGAGACGAAATGACGAACGGACAAATTTTCCGTGAGATAAATTGTCGAGGACGAATATTATGCGAGACAAATAGACTGAGACGAATTGACGGGTACGAAAAAGACTAATACGAATTGTTATAGCACCGTCTACAACATATTTAGACAGGATCGGGATCACAGAGATGGTGGAATTCTCACCTCTGTTCGGAACAAATCTCATTTCAGTGATCATATCGAGAGCAATGAATTAGTTATTGTGGAGATACACTTAAAAATGACAAAAAACTTGTGATTGCTTCTTATCCGTATATATACCACTGTCAATTAAATTATCTATTAAAGCATTACTCAAAATTAAAAAATTAAACGACAATTATGTGATAATGGGAGATTTGAATGCAGCACATGTACATTTAGGCTGTTCAAACACATATAGAAATGGACATGTTCTGTACAAATGGCTGCAAGATCATTCAACACAGGTTATCAGATCAAATGAAGCAACATATGTACTGAGAAGGATATGCTGAGAAATTAGACTGGGTACCGGCAGATGTTGAAACTTCACTATTATACTCTCATTTTCAAACACCCTCTATTAAGCACAACAAAATCAGGACATAAGCCAATCGCTTATACCATAGATTGTTCTCTTGATGGTCCACCAACAGAATGTGCACGACAACAATACATTTTCTCTCAGGTGAACTAGCCTATGTCTCCCATTACATTAAGTTAGAAGAAAATTTAGCAAATAAATTAACAATGGAACAGTTATCAAGTTTGGCAATTCTTCACACACAGAATTAAATAAACTAGTTCCGAAATGTATCAACAGACTTTCATTTGCATACACTTTTAACATTTGCATAGGTAGCAGTTAAAGAAAAGCAGTTTTGTGTATTCAACCATTTTATAATATGTTTTCCATGGACTGACATGCATTATATAGATCACACAATCGAACTGAGTACACGTTGATCATTCATGTTGTTGCGTATCTCGTGTAAATGTTGTCTATATGTTTTTGTCTCGTAATGTTCTTCTCCGACTGTTTTGATAGCAACTTCGATCGCTTTCATAATATATTCAAGTGCTTTTTCATATTGACGTTGACGTTTAAATATGCTAGACATGTAGTTGTAAACGCCCGCAAGTGTTGATTTCTCATTCGAGTTGTTGTTGTTCATAGTGGAAGAAGAGACGCGACAACGAACTTCTTAGAGTCTACCCCAATATTGAGATCAACCAAACGATGACGCGCTTTACATCGGACTGTTCAACATCTGTGAAATGGTTTAAAACAATCAAATGAGAGAATTCTTGACTAGCGTTCGACGACCGATACTCAAACTTCGATTGTGAAAACGAATCAACATTTGACTGATCTACTCTCGAGCTTTTCGAATCATAGATGTAACCGATCAAGATTTTCTCGACCGAGCCGGTAACCGGTTGAAAAATTTTTGATCGGACCGATCCGGCCGGTCATATGTTTTCCTAGTGTGTAAGTGTAAAAGCCTAACGACAGAAGAGTGCTAAGGCTTCTGGAAAAACGTCCATAGCTCCCGAACCATGGATTTCCAAGATATCCCTTAGATCCAGTTTTGTAGAGGACACTTCGGATCATATATCCATAGATTTCTATGTATGTTTTAGAGAACCGAACTGGTTTTCAACAGATCTCTTGAAAAAATGATCTTTGAAATTTTTTCAAACTTGTTTTTGCTTATGAAAGCATTGGCTCAGATCTTGGCTAGCGAATGATGAAAACCGCAAGTCTCTATCTTTCATTCCTCTTGAGTTATTCAAAAAATAACCACAGGCCTTGTGTTTTAGCGCCGATAATGGTGCAACAAACATTAAAAAAGAAATAAAAACGAACAGAATATTCACATAGTATAGATTACCAATCCTGCTCTCGAAGACTGTTGACAAAAAAGAGAAAACCAAACTAACTTTCTTAATCTGAAATATGAAAAACTTGGTTTTGCTTAGCTCAGCAAATTCATTTTCGACAAAGTACTGGTTTTTCAAACAAAAAAACATTTTTTTCTCGACTGGCCTGTCAAATTAATTTTCTTTCGGCCGGTCGATCGGTTGCCGGTACCGGTTACATCTCTGCTTCGAATCAACAACAAACGTCAACTCCATTAATTGATAAGCTCGTTTCAACGGTAGATAAACTTCATTCAAAATTTGATTCACATGTTAGTCTACCATCAATGGTAACTATTTCTTCACCATCATCATCTTCTAATGTGGTGAGAACTCAAGTACCATCTGCGTCACATGCTATAACTAAACAGGCAACTGTACTACTACGGCGAAATTTGTCAAATGTGAACAATCAGAATTCAACCAAAATCATTGAACAGAAAAAAGAAAAGGGGCCATCATTTACTGATTTGTAATAGTTTAGGGAGCGTTATCGTTCCACCAGATCCTATATATTCCATCTATCCTCTCAATTATCAATAACACAAATCCGAACACTTCATAATAAAACTACCAATGATGCCACGCGGTCGATAAATAATTATGAATTGGATCCACTAATGAAAACACCCGACATCAAAATCGTTTTTTGCGTCTCTCAAATGGAAAATGCAGAGCTACCAGCACTGTAAGTACACGTTCAGAAAGAAAACAGACATCGGCATGATGTCTGGTCGATAAGTTATGCTTCCATATGGTTTTCCACTCCTGCGTGTCACAGGAAGACAGTAAGGAGCTCTCCGAAAAATGAATCTCTATAAACATTCTGCGTATTTGTTTTTTCATGTTTATTAGTAATCGATGTTGATATATGTATTTCTTTTCTACATCGATAAGAGAAATATCATTCTACTACATGAGTACGAAAACATACGCTATTTAATAGATATATATACATATATTTACATACAAAAATGAGAGAGCAGCATTGAAAACGATATTAGAAAGGTGTTCATTTACAGAAAGCGAACGAGCGCTAAACAAAATACGGTTAAAAAACAACAACAAAAATATCAACATCTATTTTTACGCATTATAATTATATAATAATAATAATAATAATAGGTGATCACATCACATGTTTTACCGACCTTGAAAATCATCCATCGAAGGAAAAAACTTAAGAAAACGATCCGACGAGGAGTAAAAAGAACACAAAAAATATCGATATTGTTTGTATTTTTTATCATGAACAAATTCAAAAAACTAATGGTAAGAAAAGGAAAAAAACAAACACATAACTAGATTCTAGGAAATACAATACAGAGAACAAAAGAAAATGGATTCATCACGACTAATATAGTCAACAAAAAAAAGTTAAAGAAACCAACAACAAAACACAATTTGCTTTGATTTTGACTACAATATGTGATGATGATAAATGATGTTATACAAATAAAAATAATAGACACAATAGATCTGACTGGTAAGAAAAGAACACTCAAATATAAAATTTTAAAAATATAAAGACAAAGATAGAGAGGGAGAAGGAGAGTATTCTGAGATGTTAGACATTAAAAAGAAATTTTTGTTTAATATTGTTGTCATTCGTTGATGGTTAAAAGTCGATCAAATTGTTTTGATTTTGTAATAAGAATATCTCCATATGGTTCTGATTGATCAACGTCGACGGCTTGTAATTTTTTCAATACAAGAAGTGTATAAAATTTTTGTGCTGTAATTTTACGATTTAATGATGATTTTATCGCTGTCGATGTAAGATGATCGTGAAATGACACAGCATCACCATAATCAAAGCCTTTTTCCAACATTTGTAACATTGCACGACCTCGACGTGATAGTTTACGACCAGATTCAAAATCCTTTAATAAATAAAAAAGAATCTCTAAATAATATACTTAAGATTTTGATAGTCATTAAGCAAAGTAGATTAAAATTTTTTGTATTTTCATTTTTTAGCTGGAATAACATAATCAAATCCATTTATACTCACGTCTTGTGCTGTTGCCGTTTCGCTATCTTCATCATCTTCTTCATCTTCATCTCTGAATGTTGTTTTTCGTTCTTTTCGCTTCGATGGTGACGTTTTTTGTTCACTATGAATTTTTCTTGGGCTACGTCTCATTGGAGAATGTGGCGCTACTGAAAGAGGTCCGCCCTGATCAACAGATGGAGGTGGCATCATTAGATTATCACTAAGTGGTGGTAACATCGAATCCATGGGTGGTAGCATATCACCTACAAATTACAAATGATGAAATTTTTATTTTATTACTTACAATGGCGTAGCTAAGGAAAGGGAGGCACAGTCCTTCCCTTGAAAAGTTAATGTGCACCCGAAAGAACCGAAAAAAATTCCAGCTATCAGCGAGATGTTTTGTTCACTCTAATGCTCAGTCTAATCTTTCCTGAAGGATCGCTAAGCGTTGAACTATGTAAGAGAATAAATAATAAAAAAATTGTCGATCTGGTGGAAAAAATGTTGCTCTATCCCTTAGAAAATCTTGCCTACGTCACTGATTACTTGTACATGATTTTTCTTTAGCTTTGATAAGTAAATTTAACAAACTAATATGAAAATCGACAGACTATTAATAAGATCTAAGTTTTGGCTCACTCTACTTGAAAGAAAAGAATTTTACTTACCTAGTGGTGGCAACATGTCTTGATGATGTTGCTGCTCTGGTGTGGCCGCTGTTCGCCGTCTTTTTTCTTGCTGTTGTTCTTCTTCTTGCTCATCCTTGGATAGGGTTCTCTTTTTCTGAGTTGCTGTTCGCCGTCTCGGTGATAAAGTCTGATTTTTATCTTGTAACAAGACAGATTGTTCACCAGGTAATACATTCAAGTCTCCAACTGCTGCTCGTCTTGCTTCATCAATGCTCTCTTGTGATAACTCATCAGGTTCCACAATATAATTTGGCATATCGAGTAATGATTTTGTTATCATATTACGTTGAATCAACTAGAAATGAAAATCAATACTACAAATATTTTGGTCATTTCAGATATGTTACTAACCTGTTGTAATGTTTTGGAGAAGATTTGTGTTGCTGTTAATGTAAATAATTTTTCAACACCACCTGTTTCTTTCCAATGCATTAGACGTCTCGTCGGTGGAGCTAATTCCAAAACTCCGACAATATCCGATGTGTCACTTAATTGCGTTTTCATCGATTGACTATCGATTTCTTTAACATCATCGATTAATAATTTACGTTTACGTTTGGCATGACGTGGTGTACGAGTCTGAGTAACATCCGCGGTAGGCGCTGCAAATATATAAAGAGATAAATTAATTTATTAGAACTTTTTAATGTATTAAGAGCAAGGAAGGAGAAAACATGGATGTTAGTAAGACAAAAGTTACCATATTTGTTATTTACCCGTTGTTATAATTGGTGGTAGAATGAATTCATCTGATGCATTTGACAGCAAAGTTGTATCATCGACACCCGGCTGATGCTGAGCAGCTGCTGGTGATTGTCTATTACCAACAGTTGATTTGCGTAAATGTAAAGCAGGATAATCATCACCAACATCCATTCGATTGTCATCTGATGGTACAACTAAAAGAGAGGAAAATATAATGATTAGCTGTACGAGAAACTAAAGAAAGAATGTGTAGAGTACTCGATAATTAAATTATAAAGATATGTTCTTTGCGAAAAAATTAAAGACTGTACATACGATCAATTTTAGCAATTTGATTGTCTGGTGGAGGTTGTTGATCGTCAAGTGGAGGAATATCATCTTCTATAAACAAAAAAGAAGCGTAAAAATAATACATCTCTCTTCTCTCAAGAAAGCTCTAAAAACATACGGGCGAATGGTGACATAACATGATCATATTGATCTTGTGCGGATAAGTTTGAATTGTCACCACCGATTCCGATTGCAGATACCACTGAAGCAGGTGGATGAACTTAAATAGAAAAAAACAAAAAAGAAATAGTATCTATGATTGTTCTTCTTCTTACGTACTATCATCAAAAAATGGTTCATCGTGATCGCCATTCATTAGACTATGATCTTTTCTTATTCCTAAAAGAAAAAATGTGCGAGAATAATGCATTACAATGTTGAATGCATTATAATCCTCACCATTGAATCCAATTGAGTTATTGTAATGTGAAGATTGAAGATTTTTACGAAATATATCGTTATCATCCATATAATCACCTAAGAAAAACAAACAACTCTTATTATATGAAAAACAATGTCTTTACTTTTGCAAGAAAAAAACTCTGGCCTTTTTTAGGCTTCCCGATGTAGTTATGAATAAAACTTTCAAACTGTCAAAAAAATTATTATTCTCTCATAAAAGTCCTACCAAAATCATCGTCTAACGGCATCGGCACCGTAATAAAATCTTCTTTTAACGTAATTTCTTCAGCGCGAGCTTGATGAAGTTGAAAACGAGATGGATCGTCGATGTAACTGAAAATAAAGAAGAATTTGGTTACTAAAATGCCTTGTATTCAAATAATTAGACCGTACTCAATATCTAAATCGATGAGACCATCAAATTCATGAAAATTTTCTGGTAACGTGATAGCTGCTATTGATACTTCTCGCTGATCTCCTTGGAGTCCATCTTGTGCCAGTGTTAAATTTCCATCTTGTCCACTACCTCCCGCACCAGTCGTGCTCACAATACCCGGTCGAAATGCCATTTTAATTTTGATAAACGCTTCATTACAATCGGCTAATAAATATTTTGTTTTTCGAGAATAAATTCGAACAACACCCAATAATAAATGGCCTTTCGTACGCAATGCCAATTTCAACTACAATGTTTAAAAAACGGGTTAAGAATACAAGATAAGGGAGAAAATACGAAAAATGCGATGACTAGAACTTGTTTGATTTAAATCTAAACTAAGTGGAAATCAAAGGTTTTGTTTATGTTCTTTGCTGAGTTATCTTTGATCAGAGAATAAGTCAGCTGATTTTTGAAAGAGATAACGCAAGTAAATACGTTACGTACACATGGTTCTAAAATGGATTCACATGATGCTCTGATATCTGTTTCAAATATTTGTGCTTTTGTTAATTTTTTATCCCAATGCGCAGCTAACCACAGACGGGCTAATGGTCCACGTTTTGTTAGAATGGCATGAGTATAAAACATTCTTCAATTCGTGTGCCAACAATTAAAATTTCAAATCAAGTAAAATTATAATCTAAAACAACAAAAGACATAATGAAATTTCTCATTTTGATTGCTAATATCAACCGATTTTCTATGACTATTTGATCTTAATTTTTTCTTTCTAACAGAAATACAAAGCTGTGTAAAAGCACATCCACATCAAATATAGACGGTTATAAAACAAGAACTCTTATTTAGTTTATTTCTGAGAAAAATATTCTATTTTGGTTCTGTACAACGTGTCAAGGTGATCCCTCAATCACTCGTACACCACCACGTTGTTTATTATCGTTATCTGCCCGTACCGACAAAATTGAACAACATATTCATATAATGAATGATAATTATACAATGTTATCTAGTCAATTCGTCGATCTACACGAACAATTTGAGCGAGTAAAACGACGAAAAAATATTGCAGTTAAAAATCTTGCGCCAATTCGAGGTGCAAGTGATATACAAACTGTTACTGATTTTATTTACAATCATTTTTCTGTACTTTTCTTCCATTTGTTTACGTGATCTGTCTCTGTCCATTACTCTAGTTTTCTTTTATCAACTTGTCTTTGCTATTTTATTAGCTCCAGTTATTACAGATCGGGGTCTTTTGATGACTCTCACTTTTCGTGAATAAATACTGCCAGTGTTTTTAATAGGAATTTTAAGCAAAGTGGGTTTCCACAGTTTACCTCTGCATTTTTCGTGTTTTCCCTGCTAAAAACAAAGTGGAAATCGAATTTTCAAAGTGGAAACCCATTTTGTTCAAGCGAGACCCACTAATCATTAAAAACACTGAATACTACTACTATTTCTACAGCGGACGTATCGAGTCTCCAAGCTGGTGTGACAAAGACGAATTTCTTCGTTTTTCATAGGTAAAGAGTATCTATGCAAAACTTTGAATATACGGTTTCCGCTATAAACCGGAAATCTTTTGTGAACACAGTATTTCAAGATAAGCCTAATATTTAAAAAAATATATCAATACCGGAAAAACTAATATTTGCCTTGCCGAACGCTAATTTATTTTGAAAAGGCTTCACAAGCTACAATAACTTCATCTGAAAATGACAAAATCCCCATTTTGAAAATGAGTGTGTGTGCATCCATTTTGTGTCTGTTTTCAGAATATTTTTCAACAAACCGTTGCACTATGAAAAGCAAACAAATTCATTTTAAAGCTTCTGCATTTTGGTCATTTGCACTCACTTTTTAAAAAAGAGAAATCGGAAAACTAATCAAGTAGATGTCGGTAGTTGTCGACTGCATTTTCCCATAGGTATCGTATCATTTAGAAATTAGGATCCATCTTAGACCACTACAGATCGTTAACAGTCTATTTTCTGAACAGTACATATGGTGACAGCACGGTCGTAGTTACAGTTATCTATGGCTATTTTTTCGGTTGGAAAAACGCGGATGAACGCACGTTTTTCTCTAAAAAAATTTGTGAGTGATTTTTTAATTTCAGTCTGTCGTAACCGCTGTTAATCAGCTGTTTCTAGTGCCAGCCACATTTTTCTCCACAACTGCGATTGAATAAACCATATACAATGTACTGCAATTATGCAGAAATGCGCTTCTATCCAAAATTCCGTTTGTCTATCAGTCACGGTATAAATAAATAAAGCATCAGATCCAAAACTGGTGATGACCGTATGTGTAGTAGATTTCACAAGCTATTGATCGATAAAAATACCTAATATTCTTGTCCATTGTACCATGATTATCTGACATATAATATCAAATTCCGGTAGCTCTTGCTGGAGCCGCTAATAACGGCTTTAGTCCTATAATGGGACTAAAGAGTTAAATTTGGTGGAAAATGAGATCTAATCGAAAAAAACGGAATTTATGCTAGGTAATATCCGTATAAAAAGATTATTATTTTAAAATTTTTAAAGTTTTCTTTTTATCTTCAATAGGAGGACAGTAAATCCGGAAAAAAATATTCATTAAACAAGAAACGGAAAACCGAGCAGCAACTAATTGCTTAATTAGCACTGCAGTTACACAAAAGATACCCTCTACATCACGATTTTCTTAGAAATCAGGGAGTCGCGACTTTTTCTAAAACCGCGATGTACTGTCGTAAAAATCGCTAAAAGTGCCATCTGTAGGAATTTACATAGCGTTGTTCATGGACCGAACGACATGTGGATAATTAGGCAGATAGCATTACTCACCATATGAGGAAACCTTCCGAGGAGTTTAACCGACGATTTGTGAAGTCCATCGAGAATCTACCTAACAGTGTCGAAAGAAAGGTTTTTTCTTTCTATGCTCGATCGATGTACCACGTCGAGAAACCTCTAAATGCAATATTTAACGATTTTCTTTCCTTTCTTGGACAGATACCATTGGATCGCACATGGCTCTTTTTGATTCCATAATCTTCGATCAGCCCCGAGATACGCTTCTGAATCGTCCACACTTTGACTCTAGAATCGGGACCATAAAGTTCCAATGTGGAAAGAATAGAGTGAAAGCCAAACACGAGAAGGAACGACAATACTGTTTGTTTTTGCCGCTCCGTTTTATTCTAACCTCTTTCTCCGTAAACGACCGCTTTACACAAGCCAGCTAAAAAGGAGCTGATTCATACTAAGCCCCTTCCCACTGTGATAGAAGCCCCGGGACTTCTATATGTCCAAGTGTTAAAACTTTCTAGAGGGCTTCTATTAGGAGACGATGGGCTTCTAATACGACTTCTCGGAAAACTTTTGAAAACGATAAGTTCGGGCGTGTAGAAGCATAGATGACTCGCTTTCACTTAGGTTTTGAGTTTAGACCATGAGAACAGTTTTTCGAAAATTGCCGAGTGGAACCTCCGACACGAAACCCATTTCAGACGGTTTTTTCATATTAAGCTTTTTCTAACCATTCTTATTTTTCTAATTTTTGGTCAAAGAATTCTTTCAGTTTCTTATTTTCAGCCATAAGCGTCTGCGATCCGTGCATGTCGTCGAGCTAAAACTATTGTTCGCGTTGAATTGGTTTCAATTCATAACAGTTCGATGGTCATCTGACCGCTGAAACGATAATTACGAAAAACAGTCATATACTGGTACTCTTAGGTATCGGCTTGAGTTTGAACCAGTCTAGATCGTTCTGATGCGGTCAGAAATGCAAAAAACATATACTGTTTCTGTCTCGCACAGTGCGCAGTTTTGGCTAAGCATGTGGATATTGGATTTTAAAGCGCTGGAAAGATCTATGAGATATGTTTTTGTAGGTTTTCAAGTGTGTCCTTTCTAATGGAGTCACTTACAAAGTTCAAAATTCATGTTTTAAGGGTTTTCCAGAGATCCTGTCTATAGAAAACCTTTGCAAAACCAGTTTAGAATTCTTTAAACAAGTCCATTAAATCAGCCGCACTCGGAAACCTATAAAGCAATTATTTGTAGGCCTCCAGATCTCTTTTCTAACAATATAAAAACCACCGGCCTCAAGTTCCATGGTGCTACCTCAAATTTAGCCTTCCACGAATACTTAGAATTTTTTCCCAAAAAACTGCTGTAAATTATATATCATTCGATGCAGTTTTTCACGCTGATTCCGAATATGTTATTATTGTTGAAAAAAGAGTGTAGCCTGAATAACGGGAAAAACCAGGGTTTTTGTAAAATCTGTTTCTCCGCCTAGGAAAGTTTATGCTATTTTATGCCAACAGGGTAGACGTATCATATATAGAACAACATTTCCTGAAAGTTTCATCAAGATTGGGCACTGGAAAAATTTGGGAACTCGATTTTACAAAGAACTCTTTTTTGGAAAACCATTCCTTTCAGAAAAAACCTTTTTATTTCAGCACGAAAAGTGTTATAAGCTCTTTTTTACCAATCGACAGCTTAGCCGCTCAGCTTTCAGAATATATTTGCTTAAAATCTCAGAAAAATTAAACTTAAATAACTGAGATAAAACTTCACCGATCGTGCGTGAAACACATGTGTTTTTGTGACTGATTTTTTTCGTCCAATACGAAGTCTGAGAACAAAAAGTGTTTTACCACAAGATTGGACATTTGTTATTGTATACGTACCGTATTCACAATTTGGAAAATCTCACTTTCGATTTTTCACCTAATGTTGACTTGATTGCCCACTGTGTCTCGCCTTTGCACGAAAATCCGAATCTGATGTTTGAATTCCCTTTGGAAATAAGTCATTGCTGAAGGTCCCATGAACAAACACTATTCCTCAACATAGGATTTTCTCTAGTAGATGTTCCATAGATTCACCCACAATCATCATGTCTCTTGATGTCGGAGTTTTAGTATATGAATAAGCACTCGCGATGTATCTGCTAAGTAATGACTTTGGTGATTGCAATTCTCACTTACTGTGTGTTTGTTGTGAATAAGCATGGCAGAGAAACGGGAAAAACAAGCCCTAATTTTACAGTGATTCTCACTCACTGTGTCTTCGTTTAACGAGACGAAAAAAGCAATGTTGTTTGTGCATTGTGATTGTACAATGTTTTTAGCTCGGTATTTCTAGGAGAGGAGCAGAAGACAGAGGCATTCATTTTACTCTCGCTATCTTCTAATAAAAGGTATCCTCCACGTTAGACTCGATAATCAAACAGTTGAGTGTTCAACTAATTGAAAAGAAAGTCGACTCTGATGATATTGTTCAGTTGAACGAAACGAAGATCGATATTGATGGAAAGAAAGTCGAAACTTTCGGCCATGTGGTTGGTACAAACTGGCAAGTCTTTGATAACTCAGGCATCAATTGTCCTTTCGACAATTGTGGAGGTGGTTTGAATATGGCTGTTTTAGACAACGGTTGTGTATGTGAGTAAGGCGGGATTTCTTTTGATTATGGGTATGCATGTGGCAATCTGACCTTTCAAGCGGCACCCATCATATTCGGCTCAAAGTTGAGAAGCGACAAGGTTGGTTATTAATCAGATTGCAATCGCACATATTTTCACTACCCAGGCAGACTCCGTATCATTCATCTGCTTCTACACACGCATGGTCTACGGATGATTCAACCTGGATCAATGAGAAACCTGCAAGATATAGTGAACTGAATTTAGCATCATTCTCGGATAATTTGTCTCGGATAATATCTCTTTATTTGTGTTCAGGTTGCGGGCAATTGACTTCGTCTCTTGGAAGAACCGAGCACTGAGACTGTTTAACTTAGTTTCCATGTTTTTTTTTGGACCGATCAATCTTTTTAGCGAAGAGTAGTGCTGAGGTTGCTAATCGTATGGAAAAAATATGCTTTTGTGTAACAATAGTTGAGCTGTTCTCAGCTCAGCCTGAAGGTGTTTGGTTTTGATAATAAGTCTTGTTCCTGCTCAAACAATTTCTTCTTTTTAATTTTTGCATTTGCTCGTTCTTCGTTTTCAGTAGCAATAACGGCTTTCATTCTTAATAATCCTTATTTATATAATGACGCTGATTTTGAACTGTACGAATCAGGTCTATGCTAAGTGGCATCTAAAATGAAAGAAATTACAATTATCATGATTTACTCTCATCAACTCCCTTTTCACCTTGTATGCTGATCCAAATGCCAGATATTTAACAGCTTCATTTGTTGATCGTAGACCACTGATGGATTGTTCCGGTAATAATATTCGATTTTCAGTTAAAATATTCTGATTTATACTAAATCCTCTCTCGACATCAGCATTACCGTGAGAGATAATTAGAATAGTTTTAATTAATTTTGACATTGTAGGATATTTCTGACGACCATCACTTTTCACAATTGACAATATTTTATTCAAAAACTTCCAAAAATACTGGTAATCATGTTCATACAATGTATATGTAGATATAATCATATAGTCATTCTTTTATATTTACAATACATTTAGAAAGTGTTATATACATGATTTGAATACTCATTTTTTCATTTTCTCACTATAATCGGAGAGCCCCGGTCACCCGTCAGATGCTTCAGGAGTTACGCTTACTAGGATAAATACGGGGTGCTAATCACTAATCAATAAACTTGAATTGTTATTACAAAATTTTTACAAAGAGCGAGCACTCTGAGCTATCTACCGATGAAAACGAACAATAGATTTATACAGTTATACGTATACAGTTATTATCTCCTTTTTTTCTGAAATGTCTGCCTTATGCAATGAGTTATTTGCAAAAAATTAACTAATCGAATTTTGTTACCTATTTTTTCTCAAATTCTACACTCTAAAAAAAAATGCGACTTAGGATCAAATTAAGTCGCATATATGTGCCTTATTCTGTGATAATAAGACACATTAATGCGACTTAATTTGATCCTAAGTCGCATTTTTTTTTAGAGTGTACCTATAGTAACTCTGAAACAATTCTCATACAGTCATCTTTAGACAGAAAACTACTTCATCTATTAAGATCTTTCAGATTTGGTTTAGTTAGTATGGCGGAAGAGAAAAATCAAGGCTAAAAGTGTACAATCACTTTTTCTATACATTATAAACTACTATTTATGGTCTCTCAATTTCAAGATGCAGTGCAAGTAATCTACTCATCTGAGTTTCTCGCACTTAAAGTTAGGTTTTGTTTTGAAACTATCTTAGTTTGCGTTTCTGGATCATTCAGTATATGATGAAAGTTAGTAATAACAACTCACAATTGAATATTTTGTTTATTCATTATGATAATAGATATTTTGTTTTTATGCGCGTTGATTTCTGCTGATTTGTGTAGTAACAATCTTGCACGAAAATAAAACGTCTAAAAAATATCGTAAAATATTTCGTCTAAACTTCTTCTCTTGCCTGAAATGAATCGACATCAACAATTATTTGAAAATGGTAGTTTAGTTATGGGAAAATGGCCATCGTCAAAATTGTATTATAAAGCACGTATACTCCATTACGATGGTAAATTATATACCTGCCAATTTTTAGATGGTACAATCGTTGCATTAAAACCCGAATACGTTGATTCACCAGAAAAATTTCGACGTTCCTCACAAACACAGCAGTACAATGACTTAGCAAATAGAAGAGATTTAGAAACTCTATTCGTAAATCCTCTACAGCAACCAAGAAATGATCATGCTACTCGAACAACATCAGCCAATGTTGAGCATGAATTACCATTACCAACAAGTAATTATCCATTCTGTACTTTAACCAAAAGCAAACAACTGATGTCTCGAGAGAGAACATTTTTATACTTTAGAAAATGGTACAATTCCATCGTTGCTGGCATCGTCGTTTTGGATACTTATTTATGTTTACATTCAATATTGGCTATTTCATACGGAAAATATAAACATTGATTTAATGTCACGTTGGCCATTTGTTCAAAAACCATTATCTAATCACATTATTATTCGTATTTATCGTCCAATTGTTATATTTCGATATTTATGCATATGGTTTTTGTTCCAATTTCTATTGGCACGTTTTCTTCCATTTGTTGGACAAAAACTATTTTATACAAGAACGGATCAAACCTATTATTATAAATCGAATAGCTTATGGGCATTTATTGTAACATTAGGCATTATTTACATTGTCAGAGATCGTCTACCATTAAAAGAATTAGTTTGTTCACAATTTTTATTTTCATTATTTAGTCTTGGATTTGCATTCGTACTAGCCATTGGATTTCATATTTGTTCAATTTATCAGAAACAGAGGCCAAGAATAACGAATATCCATGCAAATATTAGGTAAGAGCAAATACTTTAATCTGTCAAATGAATTATAGTATTAATGCTTTAGTGAAACAAACGCAATTTCTGTCTCATCCACTACTTATTATGATTCTTCATTATTTTTCTCTATGCGTCCTGGTCTTTTACTTTGGCCTTGCATAAATTTCCTTCTGTTATTAACTCTATATAAATACAATCATCGTTTATCTGTTCGTTTTGTTCTGACGTTTATATTACAACTTGTTTATATTGGCGATGTATTTTTTAACGAAAATTCAATATTATTGGAATGTATCAAGAGGGAAAACGGTGATCGATCTAACATTGGATCATTTGATCAATTCTTTACAAATTTATGCTGGATACCATACACAGCAACAATGACCACGTATTATATCGCCAAATCACATCGACCTGTGTCAGTAGTCTACTTATTAAGTGCATTAGCTCTCTTTATAGTTGGCTATTCACTACAATGGTTATCGCTTAAACAAAGAGAACACTTTCAAAAGACAATAGTACAGGGTACCTATACACGTTTTCAGGCAATTGCTCATCTTTTATTTTTAGTAACTAAAGGCTTGAAAAATAAGATGTAGGGAACCGTGATAGATTTAATATTCGTCGGCACTTCGTACTTTCTCGATCGTTGAAAGTATGAAGTGCCGAATCGATTCATTGAAAATGTCTTATTGAAACGTTACATTGTAGAAAAAAATGTTTTTTCTATCAGAATAGAGGTTGGCAAACTTCACTGACAAAGAGTAGATGATATCGTTACTGACAAACGCTTTTTGTTCTATGAATCTTGTGTACCATTTTAGATGATACAAAAAATGATCGCTCTCATCATGTAGAGAAAACATTTTTTTGTACATTTTCATGTTTGACTAAAATCTTTTAATTGACAAGCTAACTAGAAAAAATTAAAGTGTCAAACCGCATCGAAAACATGTACTACCAATCGTGTACTGTGTTAATATATACTATTAATTTAGACGTTCAATCAATTGTGATATTGAGTAGTGAACGTTGTTTAATAACATATGGGCTATGGTCAATGTGTCGACATCCTTATTTGTTAGCTGAAATTCTCATGGTGACGTCGTGGACCATTCCCGCTGGTTTCAGACATTGGCTACCATGGTTATATCCTGTTTACATTACTGTCATGGCTGTTTACAAGGCAAATGGTTATGATCGATTATTAAAAGTCAAACATCCACAAACATGGCTAAAATATGAAAAACAAGTGAAACATACGATTGTACCATACATTTATTAAGTGAAATAAGACATCAATTTTTAGTTTACATGCATTTAAGATCAATATTTATAGTTTTTTCAAATCCTCTTTGAAATGAATATTTACATGATTCTTTTTAAGGATAAAATCATACAAGAGCGCGGAAAAATACAGACTTGTAGTATACAATAAACATACTATAAAGATCATGCGTAGAGGTAGAGAAGGACATATTGATATCTAATATTTCACTGTTATATACACACATCAACTACAACATGTTATGAAACGGTTGGGTAGACTTCAATCAAATTTTCTTATAAACACCTTCAAAAACTCAAAAAAAGAAACGTATTTTAATAGCTTTGGTGCCGCCGATTTATTTGTGATTATTTTATTAACGGCTCATTCAAAAGAGTACAAAAACTGAGCAAAATATAATATTTTTTGGCTCTAAGAACTTGTAGGATGTAGCCAAATGAAATGAAATTTTTTCATTCATCAAAAACACATTTTTCGCATTCAAATGAGAATTTTACATCTTACGAAACACCAGTGAAAAATATTATGATATGCATTCTTTAACATTGACAGTTCCTCCCAAACTAAACAGAAAAGGAAGTTTTTTTGTGTATGATATATTTGACTAAACAGTTAACCCTTTGGCTACCGGTAGCCTGTATATAGGATGACGGCCCTTGATCCCATCCAGGAACTTCATAAAGAATTCTTTCCAAAACAATGGAAAAATTTTTTCTGAAGTATCCCGATCCAAAACTTGCTGCGTACAAGGTAACCAACTGCGAGAGTGCGAATTTGCGATCAGTTTTGGCCAAACACACGTTTAAAATTTCTCAGTTGAATTGATATGATTAACTACTAACATTGAATGCTAGTTTTTCCTGATATGTTAACCGTCCAAATCCTAGTAAAAGTCCTATGAGTTTCCTGACAGGATCCGAGACATATCCTACCAATATTCTATTAGGATTTCGCTTTAATTGCTTAGGATCCTAACAAAATCTTACAGAATTCTAATGAAATCAGGTATACCCGAAAGTCATAGGATTTTCTAAGATTCTGTTAGGATCCTAAACAAACTTAAGTGAAATCCTAGTAGGTTCCTAGCATTTAGCATCTTGCTAGGAAGTTATTAGGTGGATCTTAAATGCTAGGATTCTGGTAGAAAACAGAAAGAAAGTGCGTAGGATGTTGTCTAGGGTCTATTATTTAATCATAAAGTTAACGGGTTATACATACGTTATTTAGCGTCAGTTTTCGTTGATCTGGGATTTTAGCCATTTGACACAATTGACACAACCGCTTTTGGGCATTATATTTGTACAATAGAGCAAGAAAGCTTGCTAATCTTTTCAAACAAACCAGTGGTATGTATATACCAATGAAGACAGCAAAACAAAGGGTGAATATAACAATCAGCGTTTTCAAATTTAAGTCTTTTTAAATGTCAGGTTTTCCGCTGTTGCTTAACGGTCTCAGAAATGGTTGTTAGTATCATGCTAACTAAGATAGTTATTTTACATTTATTGATACACAAATGTCTGTTTTTCGACGTTTAATAACAACCCAATATCGGGCATTTATGCAACTCTAAACTGTCGATTTTTTAATCGTTGAAGAGCTGTCAGGTGCTTTTTTATGGCCGTCATCAAATGTCAAGGTAACTAACAGTTCTTTAACAATTTATCGCCTATTAAACGCTTGTTTTCTGGCATATGTAAAACTAACATTTGCATAAGGTATTAAATGTCGATTGTACTCTGCCTGGGTAAAGTTGTCAGCCTAAGTCAACTTTCTTAACTTTCTTGTCGCTTTGGCACCGCGATCACGGTTGTGATTGTACGATAAGAGTCGTATTTTGTGGTCACGCTATCGCGATTCATTTGCTTTTGTTATGTCTCTATCATATAAAAACCGCATACGCACGATTAGGCACGAAGTAGTGTCATTATCATGGGTTATTTGATAATCGACTCGTATTCGTTTCTTGTAATGAATTACTGAGATGTAAGAAAAATTTGAAACCTTTTCGAAAACAGCAGAAGCTATATGCCTACTATAACAAAATGATGGATAGGATTTTGTCACGTGAGTCACGTCGCGAATATAAGAGAAGATCGCGATTGTGATATGATTTTAAGAAGATTATCTGAGCTCCCAGTTCAAATAGTGAGTAAAATATCGACTTTTATGACTCTTGTGTGATGGAGATACGAAGAATAGTCGTGTTGCGATGACGATAGACTCTTGTTTTTCAAAAATAAGAATTCATCACAATGACGACGTGACAATATGATTCTAAAGGTCTAGATGTTACCTTTCGCGATTCCAGCAATATTGGGTTACGAATACAGTAAAAATGTTGACTTGAGAGATTAAGTCTTCTTACTTTTCTGTGTCATCTATGATTCAACAATCGCCTCTGTCTGAAGGTGTCTACGATTGATTTACAAAAAAAGAACAAAATCAGAAGATGAGTGTCGAGTGTTAGAAACACTATTATACCCAAATCAATCAATGAATTATTTGCTCCTAATTTATTTTAAAATTTGACTATATTATTTGACTGCTGCATTCGTAGTTAGCAAGAAAAAAATATTCTAACATCTTGTTTTATGTTTTGAACTGTTCTGTCTATATATGTATTCGTTCCTTCTACACACAAAAGATATGAGAAGTAAAAGGAGGAAAGAAAAGAAAACGTGTCACTGCAAGGTATAAAAATGAGGTTGTTTCTATAGTAGTAACACCAAATACAAAAAAAATTAGTCAATGGCACATGTATGCTTATTTGTGACTTTTACCTGCTAATAGGTGAATTATTTCCTACAAGTTTTGAAATGGTGAAAAAATTTCTAAACTTTCATATTTGAATAAATGACAATGATCTGACAAGCTCACAAGTCGCAGGTGTCTAAGTTTATCCTCTAGAAGATATAGGTGAAATTATTTTTATTTTCCATCATTCCAGATAAACAGATAAACAGATTTACTTTACACAATGCTTCGAGAAGTAATCATCGCAGTGTTGATTTGTGCCACTTTCATTATACCTCTCATTCAGTTATCATTCGGATTTCATTATCTTAATTTGTCACCAAGTGATCCAAATATTAAAAATTCCACAAATAGTTGTCCAATTGCGAGCGATTTGATGATAGAAATGGCTATTGGTGGAATATTTGATTTGTTTTTTCTTGGTGTAGCTTATGGTTTAACATTTATGATTGCAAATGGAACAAGTATTGAAGGAAAAGCAGCCAAATGGCTAATCGGTATGTAGCTATATTAAACCTAAGGGAAAAGAACGTGAAATATAAAGAGGTGTTTGAGATATTGTCTAAGGTCTTATGCAAAAAGATGCTTGTTACTTCTCAATTCAAAGAAAACTTCTGTTTATTCTCTGGAATGAATGTATCGTCTTTCCTAATTCCAGGATTTATTTCTTTGGTATTCGGCAGTATGTCCTTAATATTTTTTATTCTTATTCAATTGTCTATTTATTCCAACAAATCAAATGTTCAATACTCTGATCCAAGTTCAAATACTTACTGTAACTATACACTATTTAATGCCGGTTTTGGTTTGATGATAACCACTTATGTTATGATACTTGTATTCGTAGCCGCTATTCTTATTATATTATTTTGGAAAAAAAAGACAAAAAAATAATAATAATAAATTTATTCAAAAAAGAAATATTACTAGAAAGACAAGAAAGCGAAAAATCTCGTTAGTTATTTTATTCCAAGAATGTGACAGTAGATTTATAAAAACTAATGAAAAAAATCAGAACAGGATAAACATTTTTAAGTCAGACAGATCTAACAGCCATTGATAAAGAGTGGTTCCATTCATATACTCTTAAATGTCAGTGAATCAGTCATAGGTGAGCCTTATTGCAGTGAATGCATTATTTTTTATTCATATCCTAAAAGCTTTTTATATCAAAAACTAAGCTCTGATGAAAATTTTGCCATGTACTGTAGACTCCTGCGGGACAGTCCTGAATCCCATCCCGTCTGTCCCGTTCCGTGGGACAGACGGAATCGGAGAAAAAAACAATTTACGGGCTTGGGCTTATGGGCTTGGAACAAATTATATTTTTCTGGGTTCGGACTTACGGGTTCGGGACAAAAGGAAAAAATCACGTTCCTTATCCAAATCTAGCAGATGTATTATTTATCTCTTTTTAAATATACGGGGTAAACGGTACGGGGAAGCCCGAGGTTCTCTTTTTTAGGACAAAACGGGCTCGGGCCAAAATAATTTTTTTGTGAGGTCGAGCTAAAATAAATTTAACGGCCTCGAGGCAACAAAAAAGTTTGTCCCGCAGGAGTCTAATGTACTGCTACGCTTGACTTTTAAGAAAAGTTGACAAAGGAACGTTCCTTAGTTTAATTTATGTGTACTGACCAAAACAGTCGAACTTTCGCTAATCTTTTACTTTTTCATCGATTTCCTTGTATAATGGAAAAGCCATGAGAGCACTGGTGAGGTCTGGCATGCTCGAAATGCTTAATGTCTAAAGTAAAAATTTCCATTCCTCTTATATTTCGATTTTTTATTACCGCTAACTGCTCGATTTCACACCACCGTTGTTTTACCGTTTTTCATCGAGTAAGTCACCTTTTTGTCTTGCAGTGGTCATTAGTATCCAATGAATACTAATTTTTGCGGAAAAAATCAGAAAACTTTCCCTTTCTCGAAAACCTCCATGTTCGACATTTCGTTTGAGAAAGATACTCTTGATATTCAACTGCCTATTGCTAATATACAAAAACGTTTGTTATTCATATTCGATTACCTGTATTCAGACCACAGCATTTATTGTACAATCTCATTTTTTCAGACATTTTCTATTACAGTCTTGCCAACTGTACACGTGTTAACAACTGTAGACATCGTCAGCGACAAACAAACAGAAAACACCCACAGTAAATGTAAGCCTTTTGACTTCTATTTCTTTCTCTTCACTTGTACACGTGTACCCAGTTACGAAAATTAGGGTTTTCAGACTGTTTTCACCTAATATTAAAAAATTCACTATACACTCAAAATACGCCAGAACGAGTTCAAACCTCCAGGATGTACAGTATTTCGTGCATTGTATATGATATTTATACGAAATGTAGAGAAAAGAATTATAAAACTCTGTCCTTTGTAAAAAGGTTTTCTAGAAAAAGCCTGTTACGGGGTTAGGTGCGGTGTCATAGCTGGGACATTTGGAAAAATGTAGTATTAAATTCACAGAAGATGCTTCGAAAAAAAATCATATTTTTGGGAACCTTAATTCATTTAACATATCGTCACAAAAAGCACAATTCTAGTACGTTTCTAAGACTCAGCTATACCGAGAAATATGTACAAACATTTTCTCTACAAACTCCGATTGAAAGTAACGTAAAAATACCGGGGGCAGATTTCACTTAAAATTGGCCCCCGTCCTCTGGAAAATAGTTGAACACTGTCGCTGTTGAGCCACGCGCATTTGACTATATTTATGACTATGATCGAAGCCCTTCAGAATTATTTTGAACGTTGTGTCATAAGTCATGACAAATGCCATTGTGGCAGTCCATGGGTGAGTGTAAATATGATACTTTTGATCGGTAAAATAAAAATGATAACAAATTTTAAAGGATGCCAATAATCAGTTTGAAACGGAGATACTAAAATAATCGCAAATAATCAAACAAAAATGTAGTTGACTTAAATTGATTAATGGTGATAATGTTGATTGCAAACGATAACGATCGATATCAGTATCATATAATCCGTAATCAAATGATGGACGTCTTAAATATTTCAAATCTTTAACTATTGTGTTAAAGAGAGACCAATCGAACGATCAAATACTGATTATTAATTGAAAGCTGGTTAGTTGAGTTATAGTATGATAGTTAAAGACAGGATTGAGCGTTCAGCATTATCGTACACATAGCAAAATTCTTGCTCAATACGTGTATGTTCAATCAACGAAAAACACAATCGAACTTTCAGGGAGAAAATAGTCATCATTACATGTTTGCATCGGTCAAATTTTTGCATGTTATCAAACACTATCTCAGATCATTACGAGTACAAGTAAACAATACTAATTTTAATGATGTTAAGTTTTTTAATATATCACATCTATTTTCATGGTTCATGAACACCGAACAAGGACAATTGATCAAAGCAAAAAAGTCTTTTTCCCATTCTAAATATTTCGATTTTGGGATATTTCGAAACATATTCACACTAGATATTTAGATGTTATCTGGATGATGTTAATTCGTTGATATTGAACGCCGAACAATGGCAATCGATTTAACATGTCCACGAATTAACATCACCTAGATAACATCTAAATATCTAGTGTGAATATGTTTCGAAATATCCTGAAATCTAAATATTTAGGATGGGTAAAAGACTTTTTTTCGTGTTGAAAAAAAATGCAATCTGCAAAAACAAAATGAAGTATACAATACACGTATTCTTTTTTTGCCTAAAAGCATATTTTCATGTCTATCATTTTTGTCATTCATTCGACAAGTTGCTACACGATATAGACTTCGTTACTACGATAGAGACTTCGTTTTGTCCACTATACGTTTAAATAAATGCGCAAAAATCTGGAATAATTTAGAAACGTGATTTCTGCGTATAGGCTATTCTTTCTTCTTCCACCCAACATGATGTACTAAGAAAAAAGCGCAATGCTGTTCTCTTCACATGCTCTAGAGTCTAGAAATTATGAATTTTAAATTGTACCGTGCAAATTGTTAAAAATGCATTCTTCCACCTAATTTAGATTATTACGACATTTTTGAATTTTCTTCTAAACTGTCCAAGCGTTCAAAATTTTTAGCGGGGACTTGTATTATGGAAGGGGGCTACTATTACGACTTTCGTACAAAAATTTCCAGAAAAAAACGGACATTTTGAATTTCGATGCTCTTGCCTTTCTAATCACGGTAATCTCAATTAATCTTAATATAACGTATTTCCTTTGTAAACGAAAGAAACACATAGTTCAATTTCCTTAACGACATGTCGTTAAGTCCATCATCTTCATTTTCTTTCTTGCGATACGTATTACGAAAATGTAAACGGATTGCGACATGTTCTTTAACTGGAAAAAAGAAACAAACTGCTCTTCAATATGTTCTTCATTAATTTCTTACATTTTTTCTTTAATGTCTTCATTAATTATCATAAAAACAAGTCTTTCTCTTAGTCCAAAAGTCGAACGAAATGAAGAAATAAAAAGATATGTTCTGCAAAGAACATGTTTATTTCTTATAAATATGTTGGTAGTCTTTCGTCCCATCTCCACACTGACTGGCTTCTACTAATTTCGCTGACTGGCTTCTAATTTCACTGACTAATACTACTAATTTACTATAAATAAGTTTTCCAAATGTTCTTTAGAAAACCCAGTTTTTTCATTATGAAAAGATGTTCCACAGTTTCGTCTATCGAGTGGCAGAAAACGTAAGTCCCTACCATTTTTCTATCAAACGTTATTGAGAAAATGGCCTCCTCGTACTTTGAAATAGCTAATAGTTTAAATTAAGATTAAAATTAAATTACATAGCAATGTTAACTAAATAACACTAAAAATCATCTAAATGCTTCCTTGCGGTCAGCTCATATGACGGTCAAATGTGTGTTTTTTCTTAATTCGATCACATCGACACAGTGTTTTACATTTGTTTTAGAAATATAAAATTATGGCCTCTACATGAAGTTTAAAATCAAGATATATATTTAACACAAAGTCTGTTTACGAAAGGTGAGAGCTACAACTCGTGAATAACTGGGTCTCCAGGGACGACTTTTTCTACACTCTTTCTTGCGTCCTATTGATTCGAATATCTATCAGTATATAGTCTATTATTAGCTGACTTTGCAATGAAAATTCAAACTTTCGAACTAGTATTTGGCTAAAGCTTTAATCTTGAATCAGAACGAAATCAAGAATATAAATTTCTATTATATCTGAACCCATCACTCTGAAACTTAAACTATCAAAACACAAAATCAATCCTTGCTTGAAGCCAGTATTTACTGAGACTAACCACTGATATGTTGCTTTCATCATTTGAAAAGTAACGTAGTCCTATACCTGCAAGAAATAAAATTTTGCTTTTTTTTCTCGTTTTTTTTATGTTCGGCACAAAATTCCTCCTAACCTTATTTAGAACTTGAAAGAGTGATTCTCATGTGCATTGTTTTGTAAGTGAAGTCTATCTAGCGTGGTATTATTGATTATTGTATGATAGGAATTATGACCAATTCAGTTTATCCGTCTTGTTTTGTGAAGTGAACGAGCATAACGACTTTCTTTTCTTTGAGATGATGGTCTCATTTTCATCTCAAGAACGTCAGTACGTTTGTGAAACTGATCAAGAAAAGTATATTATTCTTTCGTTAGACTGTGTTTTGCACATCTACCTTTCGACAGCATGCAGTTTTTACAGTTGAAATAAGATATCGATATGGCAAATTGTCCGATTTCATTCTATGTAAAAGATTTAGGTAAGAACTGAAGTGTTAATACAGTTGTTTTTCATATTGAAAAAAATAATTTATCAAACAAAACGTACTCATATAAAGATAGATGACAAGAGATTACGAATAAAACAAACCCTCTCTGTCGTTTATTTACACTAGCAAAATAGAGAAGAATAGATTATGAGAATATTGCAACGTTTCTATTGTAAGAAAAAAAAATAGATAGTTTTAGTACAAATAAATGACGTTTAAAGAGAAAATATAGAAAAAAGATTATCAGTAAAACGCATGCTATGTTTCAAATTATTGCTTGTCGATTCCAAAAACTTCAGGACATAGACGATAAGTCATTTCATACTATGATAGAGAAAAGAAAAGAAAATATCAAATTGAGAAAGAGAAACTAGAAATCTCTTACCAAAGGGTCAATTTCTTCTTTTTTCAATAAATTAAATTCTGTAACAAAATACATAAAATGTTTATAACACGTGTTAACATGTGGCTCCTAAAATAGATATAAACAGTACCAGAATAAGAATAAAACTTTAGACACTTACAGCTCCTAATTGCTTCAATTTGTCAAAATGATGAATATAAACATGTACAAATACACGAAACAGTCGAGATAAAATTTTTTTGCAAATTGAATGAAACGATTTTGGAAATGGAACACCTGAATTCAAAAAAAAATATACGCATTCATTTCAATAACATAAAAATATAAACAGAAAAGGTTTAATACAATAGGATGCAAATAAAAAGTTATATTAAATAGATGTGAATAAGTAAATCGAATGATCGGCATTGGTACATGCCAGCAGCAGAAAAAAAGAAAAAATCTTGGCAACAAAAGTGATAGAAGGAAATAACAGATATATTTCTAAATATACATGTATTCAGAGAGTGAACTCTACTCACTGGAGATTTACATGGATACTGTAGTATAACAGGCGCTGATTGTCCGTGTAGATCTACTATTCATTCTATCAACGACGTCTGTTGACATAGCGTTGATAATTTAATTGTTTGTCTATTTGGATAAATCTAAGAAGAGGAGAGAAAAATCTTGCGCATTATACATACCAATTTGAATGGGAAATAGTGCTTCATCATTAATCTGCAATTCAATCCATTCCATTAATTTTGTTATATACAATTGAGCACATAAACTTGTGGGTTTTTTATATTCTAAACTATCGCACCAACGATATTCATATCTAAAGTAAATAAAATGTGTTAACTACAATCTTGCTATACTCTTCAACGATTCAACATCGAGTAAAAAACATCCTTAGAACGTAGTTGTCATAAGAAATCAACTGTTAGAAACATACTTTGGTCCACCTGACATTGTTGGACAGGTATGTTCATCGCAATAATCGCTAATAACACCGTAAACAAGATTAATTCGGTTGAAAAAATCAACAACTGAAACAGATAAATAAGAGAAAGGATTCAGAGTAGACTGAGAGTAGGAAGCTCAAATAATTAAGGTGTTATGGCTTATACATGAGTTAATCGTACGATTTCAGTTTAAACTGTTTGCATTTTCTTGGTCTTTTTTATATCCTGTTGTGTCTAGACATCTAACTTCCAGGTATTCGAAAACAATATAAAATAGAACATTTATTCTTACCATGTACGGCTATCCAATCATTTTCGTTTTCATCTTCCGGTAACTTGACAACTTCTTTCAGATCTAATCCAGAATTCAGAGTGGCTGATGCATGTTTATGCAGTGAATATCGTAATGTACCAGGTTCAAATTTTTTTTTTGGACGAAATGTCTAAAAAAAACAAAGAGAATTGTTAAGTCGTAAGAAGATAATACAACATTCTGAAATATTCTAATATGATGTGATGTTCTGGTATGTTCCAACATAACGCGATATTCCAGAACATTCTATGATATAATATAGATATAGTATGTTTGCATTACTAAATTTTAATTTAATTTAATTTTAATTTCTCTGCATTACTAAATTTTGCAATATCAAATGTTGTTGTTGTTGTTGTTGTTGTTACTTCTTTTATCCATTTAGAGACATTTTCAGTTGATTTTCCACGGAACTTCGGTGCTTCTTCTAATTTTTTACTCATTAATGATGATATTATCTTGTCGGTCATTCGGAATTTACTCTGTTGATATACAATATGAGAATGAATTGGTAACTGATTATATTTGTAAGGACAATACCGATATTAAACGCTGTGCTTCGTCAATATAACATTGATTTTCTTGTTGGTTTAATTGTTGTATTTGATTTCTTGTTTGTACTGGCATAAAACATTCACAATTTTGTTGACTTGATATCAGCTAGTGTATATTCTACACGAATTAGATTGTAAATACTTATTTAAGTGTTTATTATAAAAGAACTGAACATAACAGAATAAACCTCTCACACTATAGAACGACACATATATACTATCTATATTGTATCCTAGAATATTCCAGAATGTTTTGTTATCTTCTTAGGTCTTATGACCTAACAAGAATCCATTTATAGTTTAGCAAAAATAATAACACGTGATATTTCTCAAAAATTAGCTATTTAAATTGTACTAAATATAGTCTTATGTGGAAGAAAAGCCATGTTTAATCAAATAGTTATAACCTTTTTTTAATCCGATTCATGCCAATCATATGTGTGTACATGAGTGCACACACACCTGCTTTTCGAAAAAAATCTTTCATTTTTCAGGCTGTTTTTGCCAAATATTATTATAACACAATAAAAATTTTCTGTCAATGTTGCATCTTTCTCCCAAAAAAGTTATACCTCTCTTCCTGCTTTTTTTCTCTTAGTACACCACTGTCACTGATGTTATGCGTATTATCTCACACGCTTTGTAGTGCATTCACACAAAAAAGAATTTTCAATTATTCGCCATTCCCAAAAAAATATATGAACGCCACAAATTTGATGCAGTTTACACTATCGACTTACTTTATCTTTGGCAAAAAACGATGTAAATGCCATTTTACATAGTTGGGATCATCAGTGTCATTATCTAAAATGAGAGAAATAAATTAGTTGAATAGACATACGTCTATTTTTGTTGTCTTTTCTATTGTTTACATTTAGATAAGAAAAAAAACACATACAAGTGATGTATAATCTGTGTAAACAAAAACTGTCTCGTCCCATATTATTTCCATAATGAATACATAAAAAAAAGCATGAATCACCAAAAGTTTCGGCTTTCTTCTCGGCAAAAAGGCAAGGCGTCATTGTGTCATAATTTACACCGTCGTGCTAATCACACATAAAGCCGAAGAACACGCAGTAAGATCTCATTTTTGGAAATGAATCATACACTTTCTTCCGTTGGTTGGCTCAAAAACATTAAAAGATGATTTTTTTCATGCTTCTCGTCTTCACAGAACTGAATCAACTCTAAACATTTTGTCATAGGTATGAATACATGAAAGAAAGCATCAATCAATTCCAAATTGGAAAACGCAACAGATAATAAAAAATCCACCTGCTGTCAGGCGTATCCAGTACTAACATCGATAAGGAAAAGTTAGCATATAAAATGATGGACAAAAGTTTGAGGCACTTTTACTTCTTATTTATTTCCTAGTAAAAATATGCTGCGATAAAACAGAGAAAGAACCACTGCGAAGTTTTCTCTTAGAAACAAAGAGAAATTCACTAAGACTAAGACTGTTTTATTCACGAAAAGTGAGAGTCATCAAATGTCACTGACCTGTAATAGATGACTCAAGCCAAACGACACAAAAAGAGTAATAAAAAAGAACAAAATCAATAAGACAACTAAGGTTAGAACCAGAAGTAGCAAAAAAAGAACAAATTTTTGAAAAAAGTAAAAAGAAGCAAAAAAGCACAAATATAAATTCTTAACTGACAAATATTTCACTGGGAGAGATATGACATTAAGCTGTTTAGAAAGACAAATAACTGACTCTCGGAGATTATTCCAGTCAGCAATAGTTGAATAAAAATAAGAAGAGTGCACCGTTTGCGCAGAATAATCATCAACAGAAGATGGAATGCGAACATATTTAGAATGATGAAGGCGTAAAGACCCAGGTCAAAGAATCCTATAATAGGATCCTATCGTATCCTGACATAAGATCTTATAGGATCCTACGCACTTCTAGTAGGATCCTATAGGAAACACATATGTAATCTGGATATAGGAAAACCCGTAGGAATCCTACAATAGGATCCTGAAAGTTTTCCTGTGATAAAATTTTGCAGGATTTAATAGGATCCCACAAGATCTTATATGATCCTACATAGGATTTGATAGGATCCTGTAGGAAGTGAAAAAAGTGAAGACCGTATTGGTCCGGCTCGTCTCGCTCATCTATTTCCTGTTCTTGATTGTATATGCCGTCATGCTTTATTTGTATATGTCGTTTTTGGCAGTATAGTTCTGTTTTTATTTTCTTATCTGTTCCATTTCACAAACAAAAATTAAAGTAAAGAAAATTACAAAACAATATGATAAAAGCAACAAAATCGCCATAACTTTCATAAAACATTCTACAAAGAGAATTTCGTTTATTTCACGAAATCAATTCTACTGAATCAGTAACAATCCTCGTGAAAAACCGAAGGAAAACAAACATATATAAACAAAGAGAGCGCGCAAAAGCCATCGTTTTGTTGAAAAGATCATACAAAAAAAGTAGAAGATAGAAAAGTATGATGTAAAAAATGTTTACGCCGGTGTGCCAAATGCTATGTACGAACGACAATACGAGAAAGAGAATATATGAGTTTTAAAAAGACAAGTCTTTTGCACAGTACGCTGAAATATTAGAGTCATCCCTGTAACCCAAGAACCATGATAGCTAGACTTTGAATTTTGTGTGGTGGTGCGTCTTACTGGATCCGGATCACTCAGCAAGTTTAGCCCCCTTTGATTGGATGATTCGGGAGATTTAAGCATTTCATTTCTTTTCCGTAAAATGCTAATAAAGCCTAGCCAAAGAGGGATGAAAATTTTGAAAATTTTACTTTTTTACCGAAATGTAGTTATCACTCTTCTTTAGCTACGATATGAATTTGAAGTTCGATCTATTGCTTGATTCAATAGTTAACCATCAACTTTGCGTGAACAGTCTAGAGACATTTTAGAGTATTTATGCAATTTTCAAGTGAAAATAATATTAAATGTCTTCAGAGTGCGTCAACTGAGCACAGGAAGTGTTTCTATGAAACACGAAATATGTAGTAATAATAAGCAAGGAAACCACTTTTCAGCTTTTGAGATCAACAGAGAAAACATCTACAGACGGGCTAGTATGAAGGAAAGTTGACGAAGAACTACGTTAAATAGTGATGAATTAGTCGAAAAAAACAAAGAATAACCTAAAATATTTCAAGCGCCATTGTAGAATATGCAATTTTTTTACACTACAGCTGCATGGCTTGGAAGCTCATGCGTTATTAGAAGCACTGATACATTTCTTCCTAATAACAAAGTAGCGCGAAAACAAATTGTAGTTGTGTTATTTTTTCTGCAGTATGGTTATTTTATTTTCTGTGTTCATTCCTTCTCGACTCGGTTTTATTGATTTATTTTCTTTCTTTTCGTATGAGTCAATAATTAATAAAAGCTTATCATTGGCTACTTCTTGACCACACGCATATAGCGACAGAAATGATGTCTCAACAGTTTTTTATTAAAAAACAGAAAACAAAATAATCAATGGCCTTCATGCTTTTTTTACACATTAGTAGTTCTGAATGATTTCATATTAGAAAATATCATATCAGACCTTCATGAGAGTCAGATGAATTCCTACGTAATCCTACATTGGAAGTTATAGGAACACAAAAGATTCCTACTATAGGATCCTGTAAGAAATACCACACACACCTAGAACAGGAATCCTACCATCTCCTATCGTAGGATTATGTAAGACTGTATAGGATCCTATCGTAAGAATCCTATACATTCCCACATGTCATAGGAGCCTGTAGGATCTTATAGGATCCTAGCAGGATTTTTTGACCTGGAGATGAGTAGTGAGGACGATGAATAGTATAAAAAAGAGAACAGGACTTAGACGATGATAAATTTTGAAAAACTGTAGAAGTCTAAAGTATTTACGACGAAGAGTGAGATTTGGAAGAGAAAGTTGAGACACAAGTAGAGAACTAGAAGAACGATAGTCGAAATTGCGAGAAACAACACGAGAAGCAAGTTTGTTTACAGAATCAAGAACAGTAATAGAAAACGAACTGTCATACAAGGCACAGCAATAGTCAAGCTAATCCAAAGACACGATTCAATGCTCCAGGCTTGCTCCGACAAGCAAGAGCAATGTTCTTGGCATGATCATTCCACCTAAGATCGTGCGAAACAAGAACACCAAGACAACGAACAGAAGACATAACATTTAGAAACGTTTAAAGACATGAGATTGGACGAAGACCAGTGAGAAACAGAGTTTATACAGTTTCGAACATGAAAAAATTACAAGAATCAGTAGAGGAAAGAGGAACAATCAAAAAAACATCAGCAGCAAATAGACAGATTTCACAATTAGGTGGAAGCGACAGAGGTAGATCGTTAATAAAAATAAGAAATAAAAGAGGCCCAAGCACACTGCCTTTGAGGAACACCAGAAGGAACAGGAGAAGAAGAAGAGACAGAATCATTCATACGCACACACTGAGAACGGTTCGAAAGATAAGAAGATAGAAGAGACAACAAAGAATCACACACACCGCAACGAGAAAGTTGTTTTAACAAGAGAGAATGAGGAACACAGTTAAATACTTTAGAAAAATCAAAAGATACACCAACACACTTTACACCAGCATTCCAAAAGTTAAAGACGGTTGAAGATAAAAACAACAAAGCATCCAGAGTCGAATGTTTAGGACGAAAGTCGAACTGTTTGTTACGCTTTACCTCAGTCTTTGCTTCTAGGCTCCAAATCTGTTTCCACAGATGCGGATAAAGCTGAACTTTTCTTTTTCCTCTTGTTATTCTTTTCTTCAGGGACAAATTTCTCCCTCTACCACTCCATACTTGCCAACGATGGATAAACACCTCGACTTCTCCATACGAGACGTTGAGCCTTGACTTCAGAAATTGGATAAAAAGTCTACTGTTGGTATTGATGAAATTCCTTCTTCCTTCCTCTCTTCTTATGCTGAGATTCTCTCACCTCACCTTCACTTCATTTTTCATCTGTGTCTTTCTACTAGCAATTTTTCAACTTTATGGAAAACTGCATTCATTCTACCTGTACATAAAAAAGGCGCTCTTGCTGATATTTCTAATTATCGCCCTATTTCACTTCTTTCTGTTGTTTCTAAAATTCTTCCTGTTGTGTCTAAAGTTTTTGAATGTCTAATTTATAATTTTATTTTTCTCATCTCCCTAAACACTTTTTTTGTAAACAAACAGTTCGGCTTTAATTCCAATTTACAGTGTACATGTCAATATACATAATAAACAATGAAAAAACAGAAAACAATATGTATTTCCTAAAATGGGTTCGAACTTATTACCAAGAAAAAAATCGGAAATTAATCGCAATTAAACGCACGATTAATCGTATGATTTTTCAGGATTAATTGCCGGTTTTTATGCGATTTTTAGTACATGGGTTATCAAAAATTTTCAGTGTTCAAGTACGAACTTATGCATCGACACTGTTAACTGTAAATCATTTCATAGTGGAATTTCTAGATCGAGCTAACGACGACCAATCTGAAGCACATATTACTTTTGAGTTTGGAGTGCGATTTGATGCTGAAAAACGCATTTCAATACGGCGAATTTTCATGATTTTCACCATCTTAGGAACAATTACGGTAGAGCAATGAAGCATTTTGAAATGTTTTTAAATGAGCCATATTTGATTTCTGGTTGTCTTTGGCCTATATCCTAAATCGTTCAGGTTTGTTACTTTTGTAATTTTTGTGATAATTAGGTATGAACTGCGTCTTGGAACCTATAAAATCCCCAAATGTCAGATCTCCACAAAACCCTATGCCGATGTTTGAAATTTTTTTAAATGACACACTCTTACTCAGAATTAAATGCTCTTTCAAACGAGATACGACTCGATGCGGTAGACCTTCATGTGAAGTGTGGGACAGTACTAAAGAATTGTTCAAAACATTTTGTATTAAAAACAAAACACATTCATTCTTGACCAAG